GTTGACCGACTATCGCCTGGCAGCTATAGGCCTATAATCCCCACTAGCGTGCCGTGCCAGGTGATGGAACGCATTCTGAAGCGAGCCATCCTAGATCACCTTACTTCCAGCAATTTGATATCTCCAGCTCAACACGGATTTCTCCCAAACCGTTCTTGCGTGACAAACATGCTCGTGTTTATGGACAGCTTAACTCAAGCCAAGGACGAAGGACTCATATCGGATGCCATATTTTTTGACTTCTCAAAAGTATTTGATAGGGTCCCACACGTCCCGCTGCTCCACAAACTCGAGTCTTACGGGATTCAAGGGAAAATCCTTCGCTGGATCAAGGCGTTCCTATCAGACAAATCATTCCGAGTGAGAATAGGCTTGAAATACTCTTCTCCAGCGCCGTTCTCCATTGGAGTTCCTCAAGGCTCCGTCTTGGGACCACTCCTGTTTCTGATCTACGTGAACGACCTCACGGACGTTCTTGCGAGTCCATGTTTACTTTTTGCGGATGACTTGAAATCCTGGAGTTCCAATGCCAGTGCCCTCCAAATGGATGTAGACGCTGCCAAGCAGTGGTCGTTGGACTGGCACTTTCCTCTGAATGATGAAAAGTGCGTCCATGTGTCGTTTGGAGGGGATTCAGCGTATGCCTTTGTTATGCATGGTGAAAAGGGACCAGAAAACATCATGAGGATAGATGCCAAAAATGATTTAGGCATCTGGGTCTCCTCAAACTTGTCCTTCGCACTACGCCATGAGAAATCGGCCTAAAAGGCATTCGCCGTTTTACGGATGATCCGACGTACCTTCTCCGGTATTACTCGCATGGACTTCCAAATGCTCTATGGGGCCTACGTCAGACCGCTCCTGGAGTACGCCAACTAAGTTGTCTACTCAGGACGTACGAAAGACGTTACCCTCATTGAGCGTGTCCAGCGGGCTGCCACGAGAATTGTTGCCGGCCTCAAGTCCGTGGACTACGAAACGCGTCTCGCGACGCTTGTTCTCTTTCCCCTGGAGTACCGTCGCCTCCGAGGGGACCTAATTCTTACCTACGCCTTGTTTGAACAAAGCTTGGCAAACAGGTTTTTTACCGTTGACCCAGCAAACACCCGGCGGGGACATAGTAGGAAAATCTTCAAGCTCAGGGCACACACATCCGTTAGACAAAACTTTTTTTCATTTCGGTTAGTAGCTGCGTGGAATGACCTTCCTCCGACGGTTGTACACGCTCCTTCTCGAACCCAATTTAAAGCACTATTAGACATTTATTTATGCGAATCCTCGCGCTGGCGAGCATACTGCCCCGCGCTGAGAACATAAAGAGCAGTGCTACACCCTTTTTTCACTTGTGCCTTTCAGGTGAACGACAGCCACTGACCCACAAGAACAAAACCGACCCGGGAGACTTGGGCAAAAGCCTCGATCCTGTGTATCAATCCGTGAATCCGTGAATCCGAGGCCGACAACCATCTTCTTGCGGCTCGCTGGACAAGCTGAATGAGGGTGACGTCTATCGTGCGTCCTGAGTAGACGTGGTTAGCGTATTCCAGGAGCGGTCTGACGTAGGCCCCATAGAGTATCTGGAATTCCATGCGAGTGATACGGGAGAAGGTGCGTCGGATCATTAGTAAAATGGCGAATGCCTTTTAGGTGACTTTCTGAGTGAGTTCTCTTGCTGGCAGAGTTACTGCCCGAATCTGTGAACCTGGATCGTTCTGCGCCATTTTTCACTTGTGCTGTGTAAAGCCGCTGAAAAGGTGCGTCGGATCATTAGTAAAATGGCGAATGCCTTTTAGGTGACTTTCTATGTGAGTTCTCTTGGTGGCAGAGTTACTGCCCGAATCTGTGAACCTGGATCGTTCTGCGCCATTTTTCACTTGTGCTGTGTAAGCGAAGCCGCTGAAAAAACAAGAACGGGAGAGCCAGGGCAAAAACTCCTATTTTATGACTCGACCTGCGAGTACGCGGAGATTCCGCGTGAAGCAACAATGGGCATTCGGCTAAATTGCCTGATTCTGATTGGTTCACGTACCGACCAATCAGGATATGCATTCTTTTGGTCGGGTGCCGATTGATGAGTAACCATCCCAATCTGCACGACGTAAAGCGGTTTCGTTCTGCAAGACAATGAAAACATCCCTCTTGATTCTACCGTCATTCCGATCTTGGCTTTAATTTGACTGTGAATCCTTGTGACCATTGTCAAATAGCATTTCGTCGACATGACTGTACGTATTGTCGAGACCAGCTTCAGAGATCCCCTGTATATGCCTTCGACCCAGGAGGTGCTTTGAGAGTAGCCGGCTTTCCGTATGCCGTGGTTCTAATGTGTGACCACATTCTGAAGCCTGAGTATTAGTCCTGTGGCGCGTTCAGTCCTGGGATTCAACTTGATCCACATGCCCGATGGCATCCCGTGCGGCCTGAAGATTTTAGTGCTCTAGTTGTAACGTCATAAAGTTGATAGTCAAAAAAGTAACAAGCACCGGCAAAGTCTGTTTACCAGGATGATTTTGGATACACTAGTTAGGTGCCTTGATAAAAATGGATAGAATGCGAAAAGTGGACAACCGGTGAAAGTACCTGCCTGAAGTTCCGGACGAGGGGGGTGACTCCTCTGCAGTATAGCTGGTACACGCGTTCCGTGGTTATCCGTGGAGACTTGTATAGCTCGGTTGACTTCCTGTCCTGTGCACGAGTGTTTGTGTGTTCGGCTGAGTTGCGTGCCTATTTATTGTATGCAGTGTGAAGAGAGGGGTATTCTTTCGTGTTTGATGCATGCACAAACATGAATACAACTTAACCCAGTGTGGTTGAATTTGGTAGGCCTGGAGTGTGACGGAGGTGGTAACTGTGTAAACAACAATGGATGGGAAGCTGTAGTGTACATGTTTAGTTACAAGTGGACCGGGAACTTTCACGTTGTTTGAGTGTTTGTGATACGTCATCTAGTGAGTTGCTGCTACACGACACATGCAGATTTTAAGATACTCTCTAATCAGCATCCGCGTTTCACGATACTTCCATGGTGTCGTTATTGCTACTGCTTCCTCATGACTTTACGGACAGTAGGGCAAGGCTCGGATTGAAAATGGGATTGTGGAGTGCGGAAGGATTCGACGAGACGTAATGGGCTGGGGTATTAAGTCGTCTTTGATGAGGTGATTTGAGATAGCCCCCCACTGAATGTGTTCCAGCACCATGCACGGTATGCTTGGGAAGCTACTGGGCCTCTAGCTGTCGGGACTAAGCAACCACCGGATTTATAGATCAGCTTGACTGTCACCTCCTTTTAAACAGGTGAGAGGTTCACTCCGTGGGTAAGCTGACGAAGCGTCGGACAGAAATGCCCCGCCTATATCATTGATCACTTCTGGCCCCAAAGTGTTGAAGGGTTTGTCCTGCTCAAGGGTGGATAACATCCTCCGTGAAGAACAGGTTATTTAGAGGCTATTTGCAGACGCACCTCGTTAGGATTGTATGTGACAACTTAGCCGTGGTAGAATAGACCCGCATAATATTCATTATAGGCTTCAGATATCATTATTTGTCTGGTCGTGGGTTGCCTGTTTGTACCCATCAAGGGAGGAGCGGTAGGTTTTTTGTTAGGTGGCGTCTTTTGTGCCAAAGTAGTATATTTTGTTTTTCCGAGCAAGGTATAATATTATGCCCATTTTTCGTATATCCCATTGGCGGGCTTCTTATTAACGCTGGTCCCACGAATTCTGAAATGCCAGCTCATCGGTGTCTCCTGTAGTTATCTTTTGAATAATAATTTGAACATTTTTTCATTAAAGACATCAGACCCTCTGAGGGAGCTCTTGACCCGCTCGAGTTTCCCCTGGTTTGTTTGAGACGAACACTGCCCAGGCGTCGGAGATTTCCTGAGCAATGTTCCCGTACGTCTACCTCACTGAAGCTGGCCCCAGTTTAAGTTGCCCAAAAAAGACGTGCATTCATAAGATACATGCACGGCAGAANTCCGCGTTTCACGATACTTCCATGGTGTCGTTAGTGCTACTGCTTCCTCATGACTTTACGGACAGTAGGGCAAGGCTCGGATTGAAAATGGGATTGTGGAGTGCGGAAGGATTCGACGAGACGTAATGGGCTGGGGTATTAAGTCGTCTTTGATGAGGTGATTTGAGATAGCCCCCCACTGAATGTGTTCCAGCACCATGCACGGTATGCTTGGGAAGCTACTGGGCCTCTAGCTGTCGGGACTAAGCAACCACCGGATTTATAGATCAGCTTGACTGTCACCTCCTTTTAAACAGGTGAGAGGTTCACTCCGTGGGTAAGCTGACGAAGCGTCGGACAGAAATGCCCCGCCTATATCATTGATCACTTCTGGCCCCAAAGTGTTGAAGGGTTTGTCCTGCTCAAGGGTGGATAACATCCTCCGTGAAGAACAGGTTATTTAGAGGCTATTTGCAGACGCACCTCGTTAGGATTGTATGTGACAACTTAGCCGTGGTAGAATAGACCCGCATAATATTCATTATAGGCTTCAGATATCATTATTTGTCTGGTCGTGGGTGCCTGTTTTTTACCCATCAAGGGAGGTGCGGTAGGTTTATTTGTTAGGTGGCGTCTTTTGTGCCAAAGTAGTATATTTTGTTTTTCCGAGCAAGGTATAATATTATGCCCATTTTTCGTATATCCCATTGGCGGGCTTCTTATTAACGCTGGTCCCACGAATTCTGAAATGCCAGCTCATCGGTGTCTCCTGTAGTTATCTTTTGAATAATAATTTGAACATTTTTTCATTAAAGACATCAGACCCTCTGAGGGAGCTCTTGACCCGCTCGAGTTTCCCCTGGTTTGTTTGAGACGAACACTGCCCAGGCGTCGGAGATTTCCTGAGCAATGTTCCCGTACGTCTACCTCACTGAAGCTGGCCCCAGTTTAAGTTGCCCAAAAAAGACGTGCATTCATAAGATACATGCACGGCAGAAGTAACAAGTTAGCTTTTGAGGTTCTTGATTCCTGGCCCAGCCGTGGATGAAATCAAAAGTCAGCCTACAGTGGTCACATTGCCCAATCGATGCAAACCAATCGTCCCTCGTTGGAGATAACCAGACCTGGCGTAGATGTTAGTTGGCCCACGCGGTATCATGTGGGTGCGCCAATACGCTGTGTCGGTGCCGATTCCAAATGTTTACCAGACACCATACGCTTTAACGCCATCCCACGGGTATTGCGAGTAAGTGGTTTGTGCGGCGGTAAACGAGAGAGAGAATAAGTCAACTGGTTGTATAAGAAGGTGGTCATCGCTCCAAGGACCCGAAAGATTTTAACAGCCACTTTCTTGTTTCTTTACCACTTTTATCAATTTTCCCAGTACATCCGTGTATCGCACAAACGCTTGAAAATTTCTCCCGCCCAATCTCCCTGAAACCAACCGCGTAAATTCAAATGTCCCGCCTAATCCTGCCTTCTATTCGTTGACATTTTCTTATTATTTCGTCACCCCATCTCTATCCCATCCATAAAAACATTGCGTTGCACAAACTACGAACATGTTCTTGGTTCCTAAAATGAACCGTATTATCGCTTGTTTAAATGAATATTCTGGGCACTTTTCGAACTGGTTTCTCACGCTTGATACTTGTCTCCGTGTTTGTCGTGGGTCTAACTGTCGGTCGATAACTGTCAAGGTTTGTTGTACATTAATTGATTTATTGATATTTTGCTATACAGTACAGCACATTTTGTCGGGATCACTTTCGTTTTGAATTCGGATCCATTCTTCGGTGCTCGTTGCTCGACTTATCGATTTTGTCGCATACAATCCGCTCTCACAAGACCACACGACTTGTTCGTTCCGTAGACGCGAAAATCAAGAGGCAAAACCTTGTCTCGCTCATAGACCAAAACCAAAAAATATCCGCTTCCTGTCTCGTACGGAGATGTCCTAGGATATATGTGCACATCAAAGCTTCCTATATATAGTAGAACACAACAGTCAAAACACGCAGGGGGTAGGAAGTCAACCAGATACGGGGCACATCTGGCAGCTATACTGCACAAGAAAC